CTTGGACTGAATGACTCTGTATTTATAATGGGGGATGCCTTGCTTATGTCGCCTTAATATGGCAGTGTTCATTTTCATTGGTGAAGAGTGGTGGCTTTTCACAGGCTATATGATAGGCAACATGCTTAAGGTGGGCTATCCTTTATAGGCTTTGCGGCGAGCTGGTATTGTCATTTAGTCATTGGTTTCATGTGGTGGTCAAGTGGTTATGAGCTACTGATCTCACGGGTCCTATTTGCCTGTGCAGCTGGGCTACTGGTTGTCAGTTTTATTTGGCTAGATATCCACGGTTTCTACACGAGATTTATGCATTTACTTTAAAGCTAAGTCATGATTTTTAGGCCTTTTGGGCCTTTCTTTGGACTGGGCTTTTATCTCGCATGTACAAGGTCAACATCACTCTTATTCTCTCTAAATAGTAAATACATATATGTTTAATTGCCTACAAACACTCCGCAATGGAGCGTATTATGTGGTAGCTTTTGTTTTCCAACTAATGGCAGTACTTTTGCATATTAGCTTTTTAGAGTCTCCAACGTCGAAACATGGTCTTACTTGTGTTTCAAGCTGAGCCCTACTTCTCTTCTCACGGTTTATCTCGTACTTTGAGTGCTTCCTCCTTCGTAACGAAAGACTAGTTAATATCTTTCAGAATCTGAATTAATTTCCATGTGATTTCTACTAAAAATTGTCTTTGTTTTGTACTACGGACAAATATATCTAGTCAAAAAATTAGTAAATTACTCTTGGATCAAATTGCTCTCTCAAATATCTATGAATTAGATATCTTAGAATATGACAGATCACCGTGCACGAATAGTAATGACTTTTGCCAAAAGAGTAATGTGTGTGCACATTGACAACATAATAATAGAAAGGGAAAACATGTCATACCTATATGCTTTACCTCTTATTTATAGGATTTACATGTAGGTATTGGAATGTTGAACCTTTAGTGCCTCCTTTAGAGAGCCTAAGCCTAAGTTTAATGCTGTCGTATCTAGATTAACATTTTAGATTGATATTCTTCTTCTTCTTTTTTGGAGATATTCGAATCGGTTCATCACTTCATGACTAGTCCGATTTGGGGCGGGTCCCGAGATTAAAACTCCAAATTCCTCCCAAAACATTCTTCTTCTTTAATTATATCAGATTCCTTTTTCTATTGTCCATTATTGGACTTTATATTATATGGACCTCTTATACAATTCCATAACAGTCTCATTTTAATATGTTTCATGATCACAAGATCAGTGTGATTCAATCTCGAAAAATGAGTTCCACTTAATTAATAGAGCTACAGATTCTGAGCCAGTGAGTGAGATATTGAATGGATCAAGTTAATTATTTGATATATTATACTTTTGTATATCAGCCCCCTATCAGTTTGTTCTTCTACAAAGCTTTTCAAACCATCCTATTCTTATAGTGTTCTAGTGTGGTTCTCTTCCAGCAATACATAAATGCTCCCAAGTCCCGAGCGTGTACGTTGTTCTTTTTCCTTTATTGTTTTTGGATCCACAATTCCATTTTTTTTCCCCAATGATTAAATTTGCCTTTTTTCAAACATTTTTTCCCCATGGGTATTGATTTCTGAGGTGTTATCATACTCGTTTGTCTTTTGTGCATAAAATCATAGTGTCATACGCAACTCCTTGGCGAGATAATTCGCTCTACGGAATTCATCGAGTATACGTTTTGTCGCACGATTCCAATTTATACTTTTAAAGCATTATTGGCGACAAATCATATCGGTATGAACCTTCTTGGATTGGGACGAAATGTAGTCAATTGCATTATGAGAAGTGAGAACATTATGGATGATAAAGATGATGGGCTGGAAAAAAAATTAATTTATTACTTTTTTTAATAAAAAATTATGAATAAGTAGTCGTTTTGCAAAATATTACTAATCTATATCACCCAAACACGTCCATATAGGACGTGTTCTGATGGAGAGAGACATGCCCATGTGGGGCGTGAGCTACTGAAGGGGACACGCTCAATGTAGGGCGTGAGTGGCATGAAAGAGACACGCCTCTTATGAGGCGTGAGCTGTGATGGTAGACACGCCCAACATAGGCGTGACTAAACTGCAGTCTATTTAAACACTCACCCCCTACACACTCTTCACAACTCTCTCATTGTTATGCTTTTAAACTCTCTGATAGTTTGCACTTGTTTACTGATATTTTGTTTTATCTTTTTAAATTTTGATTTTAAAAATGAGTGTGAATTCTGATACTATGTTGGGCGTGTCTTCCATCACAGCTCACGTCCCATAAGAGGTGTGTCTCTTTCCTGTCACTGACGCCCTACATTGGGCGTGTCCCCTTCAGTAGCTCACGCCCCACATGAGCGTGTCTCTCTCCATCAGAACACGCCCCATGTGGGCGTGTTTGGGTGCTATAGATTCGTAATATTTTACAAAACGACTACTTATTCGTAATTTTTTATTAAAAAAATTTTAAATTAATTTTTTTGCCATGATAGGCTTGCTTTTTAAAATTTTTTGAAAATGTTACCGATGATTAAGAAGGAAATATAAAAAGTTTTAATTATTAAAAAAGTTCAAAGATTGAAATTGTTATATTTTACTTAATAGATAAAATTATTATTAAGAAAATGAGACATAATAATTACTCACAATAAGCAAAAATTTATTCACAAATTTCTTTGTCACTTTATAATTTATACGCGGACATATAAAATTTTATTTATTGGTTTTAAATATTCAATAATAATAAACAACCACTCAATATAAAACGACATTAATTGTTAGCTATTTGAAAGGAGTAAACAAAAAATATCAGTAAAAAATATTAGCCTTTTAGAATTTATTAATGATTGGTCGTAAATTTTTCGTAAGCGTGTGTTTCTAAAGATTTTTTCCTCTAAATAAACTGTGTACGCTCCTTAACAATTTAAGTTTTTTAACTTCCGGTTACCCAAAAAAAACAAAGTTTTTTAACTTCCATAAAATTAAAATTTTCAATATTCCTTACTGTTAATTTCCCTTTTCATTAATTTATATTTTCTTTAGGACTAATGATTGCTTTACGTCTCTTTTCTATATTGAAAATAAATAAATAAAAATTAATTTATGGTGTTGTAACTTGTAAGTTCTTTAGGCCTGTCAATTATTGTATGTTAACAGTTGTAAGAGTATCATTCCCTTTCTCTAATGGCATAACATGACAGCAACGCCATGATCTACCAATTAAGAGCCAAATATATACGATAAAGATTGTTTGTGCATAGGCTGTTTTTGTTGTTTTTTGGGTCTGACTTTTTTATTTTTTTAATACTTACTTATTTGGATGAAACTAATCCTATAAAATATAGTGTCAAGGTTTTTATCACTAACCCCTAATTATTTCATCTAAGAATTACATCAGAGACTTTTTAATCTCATCCCTTGGACAAGTCCTATTAACCAACTATTGGATCTGACTTTTCTGGTAATATAATAAACTTAAATCGCAAGTAAACCCGAAAGACTATAGTTTAATTAATGTGCTACGGTTGTCACTTCTAAAATATAAATAATAACTAAGAAGGTGATTGGACTTGAACTTTGTGATTACTAACTAGTGTCTCCAAGCGATTGGATTGCCTGGATATCTAATGAACATTAACGGTTTGCTTAACTGAGTTGAGTGGGTGAAAATAAAAAAAGGCAGAAAATAGAGGTGGGTAGTGATAAAGTTTTTCTTATATTTTATTTTTAATATTGGAGTTTTTTGGTTGAGAATTTTGGTATGTTTTTGTTATAACAAGCAAGTGTATGCAAAAATCATCTTTTAAAAACCTAACGATCTATAGCTCATCTGAGATTTTATAATTTAGAACTGTGGCAGCTGAATTCGTGTTCTTGAACGTTCATTGTTGTGAATATTCAACCAAAATTAACCAAAGAAGACCTTGATGTGGCGAAAGTATTTGAGCACACTTCTATACGTTTTGCAAGAATTTTGGGAAACATATGTAGTTCCTTTCTGTCTGGTAATTATTATTCTTTGCGTTGTAACTGTAATTTCCTCTTGTGTCATCCTAGTTCTTCCAACGTTCTTGTAAAGAACTAATTCAACCCCAAAACTTAAAGTTTTGAGTTGAAATGGTTCTTTACATGGTATCAGAGTTTCAGTGATCATGAGATCACGAGTTCGATCCTCATCGCCCCCCACTTTCAGGTGAAATTAAGAAAAGCACAAGGCAAACCAAAAAATGAGACCAATAATGGACTTGTGTCATATCCACGCTTCACGCCTAAGGGCTCTTGCGTGAGGGAGTGTGTTAGAGAATATAATATAAATCATTAAAAAGACCCTCACTCAACACCTTAAGGTTGTTTTGAGTTGAGGTGGTTCTTTACAGTTTTAAACAAGGCAGGCATGAACCATGAAAACGAAATGAATGCAAGGATAAATTTAAAACAATTGAATATTCACAAATATGATTATTAGCACACAAAATAAATTCCACAAATGTATAAAACATCGTTACATTCTGCTCTTAAGTTTTGACATATATCACAAACAAAACAAAAAAGAGAGGAAGGATCCTCCTACTTCCACTAATCAGTGAATATAACTTTTCCTGTATTGGTATGGCTCATATATATAGTTATATAAAATTATTAACTTAGCTTCATTCAAGTTGTTAGGTTGAATTGATTTTTTACATAATATATATCAGAACCTCATATCACTGGTTCGATTCTTACCATCTCTCATTTAATTAATAATTAATTCAATATTGTGGAGTTTCTTAGCACGGATAGGTGGGGGATATGCATTGTCCACCCTTCAAACCTAATAGGCTCTTGTGTGTGAAGGGCCGTCTATTAATGTAACCTCATCCAACAATTTGAATTTTTTTGGGTTTAATTGATTCTTTGATGTTGTATTCATAGCCAAGTCATCATTTAACAATGAACTAAAACATAATATACTTTTTACTAAAAAAAAAAACATAATATACAATTTCACTAGTATAGATCAGAAATCTCAGCAGCTGCATCAAGAATGACAATACAACACAAACCATTGTTTATTTCCATATCAGAATTTTCAATCAAATCTATAGCAACAAAAAACAAATCTAGGAGCTGAAACCATCAACCGTGATCCAGATTAACAAAACAGACATAAACCGTCAACAAGAAGAAAAAGAAAAACCGAATTGAGCTATGAACATATTAGAGAATTTTTCAGGCTTGACCCTGAACCCTTGCATGGGTGAGTCCAACGCATGCATCAACGAAATCCTGGTCTATAAAATCCGTAGAAAAAACCTGAAGTCTATCAGCGAACCCTTTGGAGAAGCACTGATTAATGAAGAGCCTCGCATAGCCATGAATGCGTTCCGTTACAGGTTTAACACACAGAACTGGGTTATCAGGCACAGGAGTAACGGTGTTTTCAACCCTGTAGAAGTATTTTCTTGACGTAACAGGTTGTTGCTCGCTCAGAAACTTCATATTGCTATCAAACTTGGTTGATGGCAAATCTGTGTTGATCCAATTATCCTTCAGATACCCTCCACTCCATAAAGGGCTTCCTGCATTAGGCTGTGGTGATTTGCTTGGTTTCCAAACGCATATAACTCTCTTTGGTAGAACCTCTGCAATGGTCTTTTCAAAAACACCATCATCTTGTGGAACAAGGTATTCACCTAGTTGATCCTCTAGGTACTTGTCGAATTCAGGTGGGTCATCGTGTCCAAACTCAGTTCTAACCTCAAGGATAATGATCTCAGAGTCAGTTTCTGACAAGAACTTCTTAACATCTTTGATGACAACGTCCATGCTATATGTTAGGAGAATTCCATGGCATACCCTACGATCCTCCTGCACACGAATGTCAATCACACGTGTGCCACTCACAAGTTGATTATATATAGATAAGGATTGGCATTGAGCAAATGGACGAGTTATGAATGGGATGCCAATCTTGTTGGTTGCAGAATCATGGGTTCCAGGCCAAACAATGTTATTGATCTTAACACTCTCTGGGTTGAGTTCAGACATCCAGTTTTTCCTGTCTTGGGGATGGTAATCAGAGCCAGGGTAGGTTACCCCAGTGCTTTTAAGATCAGAGAGAGTTTTCTCCTGTGTAAGGAGTGTCTTTCTTTTCTCAACCTGTGTTGAGACCACAGAACCCATCTTCTTCACCTTCAAAGATGAGGAGAGGGACAACAAGAAGAAGAAGAAGAAGGATTCCTAGTTCTTCTTCCTCTTCTTTGACTCTGCCTTTTCTTGTTGCAGCTGGAGTTAGGTGTTGCAGATAATGGCTTTGTTGATGGGATTTAATACAGGGAAATATAAGAATCATGTTGCAGGAATGACACTGTTCATTCCTGCAACAAGGATACAGCTTCGTATCCTAAGGATACGGCGTCATATCCTGACTTTGGTCTGACTTTTTTTTTTAAGCGTGGGACCTACACTTAATTTGTGTGTAGGAAAGTGCTCTTATCATGTCAAATGACAAAAAGGGAACCCTTTAATATAATAAAACATGGTATTGTCAAAATTGTTTTTTTTTTAAAAAAAAAAATTGATTGGAGTAGACGTGCTGAATTTGACAAAGGATGAGAAATATGAAATGATTCTTGTGTTTTCTTCACTTAAGTTTGTTTTTGGTTTTCTTGAAGGATTTTGGTTTAAGATTAGGATTAGGATTAGGAAGGACTCCTCTATTAGCCTGTTGTCTTGTACGTCTTGGGAACCTTCGCTCTAATTATTGGTTAGGAGTTATAATCGAGGTATGTCATTGGTTGGCCCACTTGTATGGCTGTCCAAGCCTTCCTCACTCTCTTTTTTTGTTTTTGTTTAGTCGCTTAGCTTTCTTGTTAGTTGTGAACTTGTTATTATAATCACCGTATTTTAAATGATCGCGTGTCAATCTAACATAAAATCCTAAAGTATCAAAATATTTCTGTCAACTTCTTTGTGTTCTTCTTTATTTTTAAAATAAACGTATGACCATTTCCATCTTTTGATTTGTTATTAATATATCTCCTTGACACTTTGACAGCCGGATTCATATGTGATTGTGAGAAGATAATAAGGAACAAATGAATTAGACCTTATTCAATTACACACATGGAAGGTAATAGATAATAAAATAATGCGTAAAGAACTTGATGCTTTTTCTTTGATTATGTTGAATATTATTGCAGAAAAATGTTAGCTCACAAGAAAAATTTATTAAGTTACTCAATGAAGAAAATATTTCTCTCTATTGACATGATACGAGGATTCATGATCCACATGTTATATAATATATAGATATATAGATATATAGATTTGATGCTAGTGAGCTCTTATTCCTATCAAGGGGAAATTTTTTCTTTATTAGGGAATCAAATTCTCAGAATATGATGAGTAAAGATAAGTTACAAAAAGGTATTTTTGGTAGTCAAAAAATTTACTTAAAAAATTAAATTATTTTTACTAATGTTATGTTTGGTTGATATGAAATATTAATGGAAATGTGTTATGAAATTACGAAATAACTCATATATAATGTTAAAATATTGAAACACAGTCAGCAAATATCTTAGCACTCCATTAAGTTAGAATATTGAATTTCGTGAAATATTGTCCACAGTCAGAAAACGTAAATAACAAATGTTAAAATATTGTCCACAATTTTTTTTTCCATTGCCCAGTTCAAAACGAAATACATGCCAAAAATAATGTACCGGTATTTTTTAACTTAAAAGACATATCAAACATGATAAACATATTTCACCTATCCCACTCTCCCAACATTCCTATCAGATTCTCCGTGCCAAACACCTCCTAACGGATTCCAATTCAAATACCAGAGCCTTGCATAAACCATCAAACTGTCAAAACTATGGTACCAGTTTGCTAGCATAGATCGGTTCACCGTTCCCTAACTGATACAACATGAAGCACTTTGGAGAATGAGTAGTGAGTGAGATCCCAAACAAGGATGATTCTGTGTGATCTAGAACAACATGATCATGTCCATTAGGAATCCCTGCAGTCATTTGCATCCCAACGTCCTGCAATATCCACCTATCACTGTATCCGTGATCATGTCCATTAGGAACTCGGTTTTTGTAATTCGCAAATAGCATTTCCATTTTCCATCGTCAAGACCCTACGGCCAACATTCCAAGTCATAGTAAGGAAAGAGAAGTGCTTCCAAAAAATATGAAGAGAGATCATTGATACGGGAAAATTTTTCTTATTTTATTCCGTTGGTGAAATATACAAACAAAATAATGGGTATAAAAAAAAAGGAAGCAAGAAATCTTTCAGGAAAATCAATTGTCTGTTCTTCCCCGAATCCCACTTCTAATTCCTCCTCAGTTTTTCTGGAGGTAACATCTTATAAATATACCAGCGTGGAAGTTCAACTCTGCAGAATCTATATCAATAAAAAGAAAGCAAAAAAGAAAGATAAAAATAACTCCGAAAATGAAATATATTCCTGCTCTCTACAAAAAATGATCTACTGGAAAAATATTTCTCTAACTTTCACATTTCAGAGTTGGGTAATGGGACATTGTCCTCCATCTGGTTACTTAAGTGCCCCAGAGCTGAGTACATTGTTTTCTTCGGAAGGTGTGACCCATCTGATACAGTGAAAGCATGAACCTTATTTTCAATTTCAATCCAACTAATGGCTCGATCTTGACTCCCACGCCTTTCATCCATAATATGTCTTACTTTCTCAACCAATCCCCATTTCCCAAGTGCGGCATATATACTTGAAAGTAATACATAGGCAGCAGAGGATTGAGGCTGTAATTTAATAAGGAAAGCAGCTACTTCTCTTCCAAGTTCTATATTTCCATGCTTTCTACATACACCAAGCGAAGAATTCCAAACATGGTCACCTGGTTTACAAGTCGTCAGCTGCAGATCCTTCACTGATTCAATACAACATGCAACTTGACCCAAAAGATCAAATAAGCATGCATAGTGTTCTTGGTCTGGGACAACACCATGTTTGCTAGTCATGGAATTGAAAAACTGAAGTCCTTCCTGCACAAGCCCTGAATGACTACAAGCATTTAGAATGACAACAAAAGTGGCCCTATTTGGTTTCACTCCTGATTTTATCATATCATTTAGCATCATAGTTGCTTCTATACCATTGCCATATTGAGCCAGTGCCGATACCATGGTGTTCCACAACACTACATCTTGCTTATTTCCACTGAAATTAAAGACTCGCCATGCCATTTCCATGCTTCCACATTTTGAATACATGTCAACAATAGCACTAACAACAATAGTGTTAGGTCTGATATTATTTCGCACCAAAAAAGAATGTATTTGTTTACCATGCTTCAATGAAGCAATAGTGGCACAAGCAGAGAGACAACTACTGAATGTAAATTGATCAGGTCTAACTTGATACTTGATCATCTTTCTAAACACTCCAAGTGCTTCATGACCCAGACCATTTCTAGCATAACCACAAATCAAAGATGTCCATGAATAGGAATTTTTTTGAGGCATCTGACTAAAGACTTCAGCAGCTAATTCCATGTTCCCCCATATGGCATAACCCGAAACTAATGCCGTCCACGCAGGAATATCCTTCAAGGACATGTCATCAAAAAATCTCCTTGCATCTTCCATCTTTCCACACTTTGCATAAGCATCAACAATTGAGGTGGATATAACCACATTGGATGAAAATCCTACAACTAAAACCTGCGCATGTATCTGCCTACAAAGTTCAAAATCTCTTAATTTTACACAAACAATCAAGACACTGGAAAAGCTAAACTCATTATATCCTATAGACAATCTCCTCAACTGTCCATAAAACCACAAAGCCTGACCAAACCTCCCACTGTGTGCATAGCCAACAACCATCGTATTCCACGATACGTAATCCTTGTCAGGCATTTGAGAGAACAATCTCCTAGCTTGCTTCATCATCCCCAATTTAACATACCCAGAAAGCATATTGTTCCAAGAGTACAAATTTCTAACCTCCATTTTGTCGAACACCTTGCGTGCCTGAACGTAATCGCCGCACCTGAAGTACATACAAATCAAATGGTTGGCTAGAAAAGTGGTGGGTCGTTTGAAACCGGTGAGCTTCAAATGGAGGTGAACCAACTTGCCCTCTTTGTAAGACCTTGTGTTCGAGCACTGGCGCAAGAGAGAAGCGAGAACACGTGAGGGTAAGCGAATGCCCTTGGGGTGCAACAGGTCCAGAGAAGAAACGGTTTCGGAGAGGCTGTCATGGGAAGAGAGGACGAACTTAACGATGCACAGTTTGGTGGATTTGAAACGCTTGAGGATTCGGAATGAGAGAGATGGCATTGACATTGGCATTGCAGAGAAAGACCAAGTGAATGTGAAGTGTGTAACTGTAATCTGAACTTCATCATCTATGTCTGTGATGGTGAATTGGAATTGGTCGGAAACTGGAATGGGGGATTCGTTAAGGCAGCTCCGACCACCATGGACGGTGGATCTTGGCGGAAAAGAAAAGTCAAAACCACTCACTGCGCCATAGGCATCTGAAACTTAAACCCATATGGGCCTGTTTTCCACCGCGTTTGCCTTTCTTTTTTAGTTTTTTTTAGTATTGCAAAGGGGCAAAAGCCCAAAGGAAAAGATTACAGGGGATGAGGATCCGAATCAAGAATCGGACCCAGCTCAAACGGAGCTTCAGGAAGCAAAACAAATTCTTCAGCAGAGGCAATAGCAAAACAAAGGACCCACCGCTTTTGCCCTTTGCTTGATTAAATTATAAAATGTTCCTCTGCTTATTAAAATAAATAAATAAATAAATAAAATATTTCTATACAATAAAATTGTCTTTAAAAGAAGTGTGTAAGAAAAATTTTACTGTATTAAAAGTATGACGTACTTTGAATTAATGTTAAATATCTTATTTGTTATTATAAAATTATTTTGGATGAATCTTATCAAAGTTTAGCTTTGTACAATTGCATGAATAATATAAAGGTCTATTGATGCAATGAAATTAAATAACAAATAAAATAAATTACGTAAATATAGTTGGGTTTTAAGTTTGAGGAGGGATATTCTTACTACCAAATTTTTTTACTACCAACTCACTACCTATCTAATCACTATTGGATCAACATTTTCTCTTTTTTCAAAAATTTTTTAGCATTCTCTCTCTTTGATTCAATGATGATTAGATAGGTAGTAAGTTAGTAGTAGAAAATTTTGGTAGTAAGAATATCCCCCCTCTTTAAGTTTTATCCATATATAAATTGATTAAAGTTTCTGTTACCGAGTCGTATGAGAGGCTCGTATTCTAGAAGGTCAAAGAAAAGATAATAAAAAGATAAAGTTATACAAACAAAAGGAAAGAATCCTTGATTGATGCCAATCCTAATACGACAACTATGAATCTGGACATGGGCCTCCAGAAGAGCCCTCCAAGGTCTAGAACTCCAACACCCACATGTAAATTTTATAAATAAAAGGTAAAGCCTACAAGTATAGACATTCTCTCTGATATTGTTATGTTGTCATTGTGCACACACATCACCCCTCTGGCACACGCCATTATTATTAGTGCACAGTAATCTGCTATCCTTAAATCTATGTAATTAATAGATACCTGAGAGAGTCCTTAGATCAAAGATAAATTCACCAGTCATTGATTAGACATCTCTGTTCAAGAAACAGAACATTAGCGTCGTCTGTGGAAAAGGTAAACTCCTACCCCCACGACCAACATGGTGAACACAAGAAGCAACAACTACCAATAATTACCACTGTTGCCTATGTCGCCTTTGGCAATCCAATCCTGATGGAGCAGCCACGGGACAAACCGGAGTTCGGCAATGAACTTGGATTTGATCACAATCATGTCCACGTCAGCGATGCTGTCTCCGACACTGCCTCCATGCTAACACCCTACTCACCGGCACAGGTGGCAGTTCAGCCACCTCCAACGACAGACGTAGATACCCGGATTAATCAGACCGCTCTCAACACGACCCTATAGGGGATAGAGGAGATGGGAAATCACAACAAGCTCCAGAGGTAGTTGGACGCTCAGAGAATCCGAGATCTAGAAGAACTCTAACTCCATAGGGGTAACCTGGAACCAATAGCTGACTGGATCCGAGGTGACCCCAACAGAAGAAGAAATGGAGTTCGAAATGAGGATCACGGTAGGAACAGAGATACTAGGGGAAGAATTGAAAATTAAGAATGTAACAAAAGTCGTGGCGGAAATGTCGACCGAGGTAAAGAGGACAGCATAATAAGGAATAATGACGAAAATCGGGATGAAACTGATCTTACCCGCGGTATAGCTGAGCGCAATCGAGATGCTCAAAATCACTGCCGTGGTGAAGGAGGATACAAAAGGAAATACAATAGGGGCAATACAATAACAGCCCATTCACGGACAAAATTATGAATGCCCCATTATAATCAGAAGACTGGAACTTGGCACACCTGCCGAAGTACGATGGGAGTCAGGATCCTCATGTCTACATTGATGATTTTGACAAGGATATGTGTACAAAAGGAATTGATGAGCCAGTCATCTCCCACAAATTCGCTACAAATTTAGCGGTAGCCACGCTGACATGGTTCTCGAGCCTCCCTCCGAACTCAATTTGATCGTTTGAAGAGTTTGGAAATAAATTCCTTCTAAACTTTGCTACAAGCAAAAAGTATCCCAAGTCGGAATTCACTTTGGGCACAATCAAGCAGCAGCCTGGAGAAATACTACAAAAATATTTAAACCATTTTAAAGATGCATCCTAATAAGTTCCTGAACTGCAAGAGAATGTACACGTACACTTGGTGGTAGCTGGGCTGGATGGCTCATCCAGACTAGCAAAATCTATTTACAAGGACCCAATCAGAACACTAGAAGAATTTAGAGCCAGTCAAAGAAATACTTGGAGCTGGAGCAGATAGAGCTAGCTAATGCTACAATAAGAGAAGCAAGAGGTTGGAGTCTGCGAAGAAGGAGCCCGGCCAGGAGGGAAAGAGATCGACCAGGAAATAGAAAACAGACCAAGTAAAAGCTCAGATGACCAACCTCGAAGGGGAAGATACTAGAATTATACCCCACTGAATGTATCACGGTCGTAAGTTTGGAGGGAAGTAGCACTTACTGAGATGAAAAAAATAGAAAGATCGAGATGAAGCTTTAATAGTGCTAAGGTGGACCGTTCTCGATACTATGCGTTCCACGACGGTCCAGGTCACACGTTTGATGTGTGTTAGGACCTCCGAGATACGATAGAGAAGCACATTAGTGAAGGAAAGTTGCGCCAGTACCTGATCAAGACCCAAGGATGGAAGAACGGAAAGAGAAAACAAAGGGGCCGTGGTAAGAGTCAAAGCCTGACAAAAGATAAGAATAAGAAAGATGACGAAGGCAAGAAAATAGAATCCAATAGTGATGAGATATCTTATGTTTATTTACAAAATTGATGGATATTATAATTTTAGCTTTATTTTTTTTGTTAAATTATTGAATATTAAATATAATATATATTACATAAATTAAAAATATTATGTAATATCAAAACATATCCTAACGTGTCAAAATTTAGTATATTTTAGAATTAACGTGTCGAAGTATCGTATCGTGTTGTATCTCGTGTCTCATGTCAGTTTTGGATAAACGACAATATACATAACAATATGCGTGTTTTGTTAATTTGCTAAATATTTTGCTCCTCCTCCTCCTCCACTTTTGATCATTTTCACACTGACCAAGCACACATTTATATTATATTTATTTGACGAGACAAAAAAAAATTACATAAAAGAGGCCACGAGATAACATTATAACAATAGTCCATGCGTAATAAAGGTTGGAAAAGAAGAAAAGAGAAAAAAAATTACCTAACAAGAAAAAAGTAATAAGGGATTTATTGATGGATCAAACCGAATGTGCTAGTGCAAAAAGAAAACCTAACAATATCACAAGAAGGTGCTACAGCGATAACTACATATGCATATATAATAAGAAATATTGAACAAATATAATTTGTTTAAATTTTTATAATCTTATTAAATGATTTATTAGAAAGAAAAGTAAGAGAGTAACGTAAATTTAATGAACGAGGGTGACGTTGTAGCCAACAATAGCATCACCGGTGGTGGGATCGAACCAATAAGTCTTGGCGATGGCATAGCCACGTGCCATGCGGAAGAGGCCAGTACCACCCACAATGGGCATCTCACGGACCGGGTTCATTGCGGAGTTCTTTCCGACAATAACAAAGGAGCTTCCATTGTATGGGCCGTCTGTGAAGGAGTAGCTCATGGACATGAGAAGCCCAACCTCCTGCTGACAGGCCGACCCATACATCCCCTGGGCCCGGCCCACTATCTTCGACTTCGGGTCATGAGTCTCTGTCAACGGGTCATCCGCCATCATGATTGCCCCGAATAAGGTGGGAAATGACTTGTTTTTGTCGACGGGTTGAGCCACCCGAACAGCACTTGGGTTTTGCCCACTCAGCGTGTCATGGAAATAGAACTGCAGGTTCGTCACCGTCTCCTTATTCTCTGCTTTAACACTTGAACCCCAATTCTCTGCTTTGAATTTGATGCTTTGAGTTAATGGCATAGCAGCACCCATTACACTTATTGTAAGTATCATCACCACCACATTTTGCTTAGACATCTTCAATCTTTGTCTGATGATCTCTTTCTTTCTCAGAAGATCAGGGTTGTGGTTTTGCATTTGCAATGTAATACTTGTTTATATATAATTAGGTTACTTCTTATAAGATGTTTGGTATAAGCACATGGAGATTTTGTTACCCCAACAAAAATTCAAAGGTCGTTTAACAACATTACACAAACAATGATTTATTTTTTTTGTTTTTTTCAATGTCGATGGGGTCCACTCGTGCATGTTAGCTTGATTTCTTTCATTAGAGGGGGGTATCTATGGTCGGTTAGCTGCTCTAGCGACCAGACAAAAGTAGATTAAAAAGGTCGTTTTCAATGTTGTCCTGGTACAGCTACAAGAATTTCTCCATCTTGCCGAAAGCGGAATAAGTTATTCCGGGAAAATCTAACACTTTTTTTTTTTTTTTTTTTTGAAATATTTCAATTGTTTCGCAACTAATCCGATTCGTACCGGATTCAGATTAAGGTTTTAAATCATTTTCAAAAGATGATACCGGAAAGATTCGAACACATACTCTCACTCCACCTGCTTAGTTTTCATGCGCCAACTGAGTTACCACCATTTGGTATTTTTTTTTTTCTTTCTTTGTAAGTCATTTCACATAAGGGCATGTGTTTCATTTATTAATTTGGAAGCACCTAGTTACCTTTCTCTAGAAATAATGTCGGTGCCAATGTGCTGACAAAGAAATCATTTGGTTAGCCATGCTATTTGTTTAGAAAATTCCCCGACTAAGAATCAGGTGTTCATTGAATCGTTGCCAATAAACCATGCCAATTACTTCATTAGCTTATGGATCGGGATCTAAAATCTCAATGATTGTTGTTGAACGCACTGGGCATAAAAATGTTACGAACCTTGAGAGGGTGTTTATCTGAAATATTAATTTATAAAATAAGAGCTCAAAGTCCATATGAATCACGCATCCCGCATTATAATTTTATATTTTTCAATAGAGACTTCAACTCTTGTACCTTACAATTCCATCATTACACAATCCCTCTATAGCTGATTTAATACTTCAGAATGTAAACCAAGCACCACTCCAGTAGTATTAGTATTGATATTACTGTTGGTGTTTATTTTTGGTCGTCTATACTATGGTGCTAGTCCTTGCTATCACAAAATCATCTCATAAGATACAATGCACAGATATTTTGAAATATTACCAGTAATGTTTTGTATTTTTTTTGGTAATCAGTAATGTTTTGTATTTATATTTTAAACTTAAACATATTGAAATATAATTGATAAGGAAACTGTGATCTATTACGCATATTCCACGGAATTTCAAATATGTTAGTAGTTTGAGGTAATCAGGAACCATGAAGGATGTTGATAGAGGAGAAATTTTTTTTTATCTAAAAATCACAATTACTGAAAATATGATAGAAAAATAAGATTTATGAGAATGTGATTAAAAAGTTATTTCATAGGTCAAAATTTTACTTGAAATATTGGGTGAAATTTACCGAGTCTATATTTGATTGATTATAAATATTACTGAGAATTTAGTGCGATATTATAAATATATCTCTACTTTGATATTTTCTTGAACCACTTTGGTAGGGTTATTTTTGTCACATTTTTAAAAAATGCAATGTCTTATCACCTTTTTTCTTCAACCACTTTCCTAGCAATCCAACAATATCACTGGGTGATATTTAAATAGTAACTTTTTTTATACATAAAATGAATTACCAACTATTTCACTTTAGTGAATAAATTTTTTGAAAAATAATACCAAATATGTTCATCTTAAAAATCCATCCTCACTTTCTTGGTATCCAAAAACAAAACTCCTACCAAACACTCTTTAGGGGGTGTTTGGTAGAGGAGAATTTTTTTTACTAGTTAATTGAATTACTGGAAAAATTGTAAAAAAGTGAGTTTGCTGGTAAAGTTGGAAAAAAGTTATTTGGTTGGACAAAATATTACCGGATAAATTAATTAAAGTTTCGTAAATCTATATTGTTTTTTATCCATTTCCCATTCATCTAAGAATACCACATTAGAAGTGACATTTTTCCTTTGTATTTGTCACCAATTTTTGCTCACAATTGATAAATGATGGACATTCAAGTTTGCTTGCTAAATTTTTAAAAAACTTCAATCAAACGTGAAGAAGACAAAATGCTATTTACAATTGCATAAGTATTTCAAGAGAATCCTTGAACCAAACACTCCCTTAAAGGATTCCAAATGGCATGCATTTTGTGGCTGTGATATGATATGGATGTTGCAGGATGGCTTTTAACAGCCTCCAAAGAGTAACATGATATGAAAGTCATAATACATAAAATATATATAATTTAATAAAAATTAAAATTAAAATACATAATTAAAAATATAAAAATTTTAAAAGCTAAAACAAATAATTAATAACATAATAAAATATTATTATTTATATAATTTTTCCTAATATTTCCATGTGCATCGATGGAACAGTTAAAATGAAGAAAATAAAAAAATGAAATGCTGCTAGAAAAATTAAAAGTATCCGTAAATAAGTGTCATATATATATATATATATATATATATATATATATATATATATATATATATCCTTTTAAAGGATGACTATTTTAGTTAAAATTAGTATTTTTTATTTAAAATTTAAATAAAAAAATTCATTTTCTTCCAAATAATTTTCATTTTGAATCTATTTTTTTTATTTAAAAGAATACAATTCTATATCTTTTAAAAAGACAGAGACGAAACACTGTCTATGTATATTTTAGTAATTTGAAATAGCCATATTTCCTAATTGGGTTGCAAATATCAATGAACCACTCCAGCAAACAATTATGCAGAGAGAAACAAAGAGAAAATGATAAAGGTATAATTAAGGAGAATCCAACACCTAGCTAGCCAAATGATTTATGCCCTATTTTGGGTAACAAATTGTTTAAGCAAATCGCTGTTGATGATGTTATATGATCGTCATCAGTAGCCTGTATATTTTAACAGATCAATTTTAGCTGCTCATATAAGATGAAGATACTATAATGCCAGTAATGAAAATTAGAAAAAGAAAAGAAAAGAAAAAGAATTGTTGACCAATCGTAATGGGCATGCAAAGGCAAAGAAATAGGGAATCCAGTCAATAAAGTGGGGAAGCTAACGGTGTGAGCATGGCCTCATTCAGTTGAAAGGCACCTTGTGATCATGTGCTTATGCACGGGGAAGATTTTCTACTAATTTAACTTGGTCCATGATAATCAAGCTTATCTATATATATATTCCTGAATCCTCAACAATTAAGGACAGGGAGCTCATTAGCTTAGTTTTTCCATTTGAATTTCATCAAAAAAAGGAAGAACAAAGTTTAATGTTATTTCGGTATTATTGTCAGCGATTTTAAGAGGTTTAGTTAATGCAAATAGTGGTTAATAATTTGTAAGAAGTCATAGGTACTTTCCAAACTTTATTTTTTTCAAATAAAAAATTATTATGTTTGCCAAAAATTATGATGCGTTTTATAGTATGAGATATAAATTATAGTAGTCATGAAATTGAATAGTTTATATTGCCAATTAAAGGCAGCAATTTATGCCTTAATTATCTCACACATATTTTATGCTTATAAAAACGATGGTTTGCTTAGATTTATCATGAGATCACTCCTCTCTAGTGTCATCCTCGAGAGCAACCAATCCCCTAGCAAGTAAAGATCTCCCTCCCATATTTTTAGGTTCTCTTCTTCTCCCTGAATCAACAACTGAGACAAGTATATATCAAGAGAACTAGTTGACACAGCTTTGCAACTTGAAAACTAGAAAATAAAAATGCGTCTCGTCCTTCTGTTATGTGTCATCATTTTCGCAGGTTTGTTTTCTTGTCTATGTACATGTCTCCTATATATTGACAGTTTTACCATGGATTATCATTTCTCAGTATATATACGCCAACAAAATACTTGTTAGCTAGACGATATATTTCCATTTTGTATGCATTCATTCTTGGTTTTTCTTTTCTTTCAAGCACAACAACATTTTTTGTATTTGAAATGAATTCGTCAAGCTAGCTTCAATTTTATTATTTTAATGCTCTCATGTGACAAGAAGTTATATGAGATTATCTTAATGCTTCAAATACAAAATAAGGTTCTCCTATCATTATTAATTTATATTTAAATAACTGAAGTTTCAGGGGGGAGGGAATGAAACTCTCTTGCATTACTTCATGTCACGTAAGACTTGGCAGAAACACCAATTGCCACGATCGTATTATTTTATTATTATTTCTTGCATTGATTTCAGTTCCTTAAAATTGTTATCCAGATAAATGTATATAAATTTATATTCTATACTCAAAATTCTTTCATAATAACTTCAATTTTTATGTTGTCTAGCAAAATTCATATTTATCCAAAATTATATCGAGCAACAAATGTGTGAACTAGTTAGTGAAACAAGGTATTGGCATGGAAGAGGATATCGTCATCTTCAACAAGTCTCCTCCTCAAATGGTCAGTTTATTGGATGAACATTTACTTGATTTTCATGACTATAGAACCCTTATCTTTGTAATTTATTTTTTCGGGCTTAGGACCTCCCTAATTCTGAAAAAAATATCCATAGGGTCATTATTAGAAAATAAAATTAATATCTTTTCAAATTTCAAATTAGCTATTTCTCCTTATCTTTTATGCTTTCAAATTTCAATCCAACTTACTTAACACTTTCACTTTTCATTTCAATTTCACCATTCTTAAGTTTAAATGTGTTTTTTTTTATGACTGATATGTGTATATGTGACTTGTTCAAAAAGAAAATGGTGCACTACAACTTAGAGATTTTGCATTTGGTTGTTCTTAAAAATTATGTCGTTTCGCTTTAATTTTTTTTTTTAAAAATATGTATGATCCTATCGGGTTAACAAAAATCAAACAAGTTTTGTCAAAAAATCGACCAAGTCAAACTAATTCTTTTTTTTTGGAGGTTACAAGGAATTGAACACAACACCCTACACTACACACACTCCTAACACACACACCCCACACCACTAGGCTAACCCTAATGGTGCCAAGTCAAACTAATTCTCACTGAGTCAGTTGCATAGTCAAACCATTGACTAACTCAAACCAATTAAGTCATCATTCATTGATTTTCGGGTCAACCGGAGTTTAATAAAACTACCTATAATAGAATGAGTACATATCTTTTAACATTGAATCCTACTTAATTGCAATAAATTGCGATAAAGATGGTTTGCTTTTCTAGCAGGCATTGTTGTTGGGCTGGCTATAACTCTCTCTATATATATATATATGTGTGTGAAAAATAATTCTTCAACCACCCCCTTATAACTATATACTCTAGAGAGTATATAATTATAATAGTGAAGTTATTTTTTCTCTCTTTCCACCTAAGCCAACAAGTTTCTGGATAGAAAAAAGAAAAATAACTTCAATATTGCATAACTATAAAAGGTGGCTGAAGATAAGCTTATTTCAAATGGCTACAAAAATATTATTCCATCTATATATATGTATATATTGGCAATAAATGTGTACATTGATTGACATATGTATAAAAAAGAAAAAGAAAAAAAATACCATTAATCATTCAATTTTATTACTCTAAAAGTTCAGCAAAAATAAGTTAACAATTTATGGGAAAGCGATTGAGGAGGGGAAGAAGTGATTGCGCATGTGATACGGAAAAACATTATATATTTTTATGAGAAAACAGGTTGAGAATAAATATTTGACAATACATAAAATATAAAGGCGTTTTATGAACATTAAAAAAAATTCAATTTCACGCAATTACCAAAGCCTTACAACATTATATCTGGTTTCATCTTGTAGTTTTATTGTTTTAGTTTCTTACGATGTTATTGATGAATGTCAGAATATACAGAACTAATATATCTCATTTGGCACCACAGGTTTTGAAGCTGAAGCATTATCCTATGATTACACTGCAAGCATTGAAGTAAGCTCTCCCTGAGAGATTTATTTTTTAAATGGTTATATATATATATATATATATATATATATATATATATATATATATATATATAGGTAAGATCCTTTAACATCAGTGTCAAATTTAAAGTTTGTCACCTCATCTGAGAGCCGTTGGATAAAAAAAGATCAACGACTCTCTAATTTGTAAGCATGTGACACCATTGATCTTTTTTGATCTAACGGCTCTCAGACAAGGTGTCAAACTTTAAATTTGACACTTGTGTCAAATGATCCTACCTCATATTTATATATATATATATATATATATATATATATATATATATATATATATATTAGTATTTAATATTACTGAAAATTTCACTCTAATCTTTGGTGTTGCATGTTTTCAAACTCAGTGTTTGGAATACCCACAGAAGCCTCAGTACAATGGAGGAATCATCCAAAACCCAGAACTTAATAATGATCTAAAAGGGTGGACTCCATATGGGGGTGCAATAATAGAGTATAGAGAATCATTAGGCAACAAATATGTTGTAGCTCATAGCAGAAATCAAGCAAATGATAGTGTCTCCCAGAAGATTTTCCTGCAAAAGGATGAGCATTATACTTTATCAGGTAATTTTTGTACTCAACTATATATCATAATTTCTGCATAGTTCTTCTCACCTAGGGTTATTATTACATTATATATGCAGAAGAAATATCAATAACTCTTCTGCTTTGTTCTTCATATATATATGGTCATGGGTTGAAATTATGCAGCTTGGATACAAGTGAGTGAGGGAAATGTTCAAGTAAATGCAATTGTCAAAACAACTAAAGGATTAAAACTTGCTGGTGCCATTGTTGCTGAGTCTAATTGCTGGTCTATGCTTAAAGGAGGTCTCACAGCAGATACATCAGGAGCAGCTGAGCTCTATTTTGAGGTACAACATATTGTATTTATGTATTAGGGAAATCATTGTCTCATCTTACATAAAATAACTATCTCATGTTGTTCTCACATCAAAAGTTGTGCTATCATTTTTGATTTTTTGTTTTTTTTTAATAGATAATGAACTTCACCATATCATGTGTCTATAGTAGGAGATAACTATCTCCTACAACATGAGAAAATAAAATTCCTATCTACTATTGATCAAATAGGAAGAAAGTGAGATCTTTACTGAATGAAAGTTATTCTTTATTAATTTCCCAATTGTTCTAATCTCTTCAAAATGTTGAACTCTGTAGAGCAATAACACTTCTGTAGATATTTGGATCGACAGTATTTCCTTACAACCATTCACAGAAAAGCAATGGAGATCTCATCAAGATCAAAGCATTGAGAAGGTAAACATTAGTATAGTTTTCCACTACATATCAGTGTTATTAAAATCGGTTGGCCCGAAAACCGGGATGATTCAAGCAATAGATTGGATAAATCATTGATCTAGTATTAATGCGGTAGCGGTTGGGACTCAAAATTGTGTCATGAGAAAGACAAATATAACAACTTACCATTAGACTACATTTAGTCATTTGGTTAATATGTACTATTTAATATATTTATTTAGATGTTGATTAATATGCATCATTTAATATAATTTTCATATAATTATGTCAAAAGTTTTCATATAATTATGTCAAAAGTTGCAATTAGTGGGGATCGAATCCTTGCCATGGAGATATAAATCATAGTACTTAGCAATAGGTTATATTGGGTTGTTGGTTAAATTGCACCATTTAAAATATTTATTATATAATTGAGTATAAAATATAAATTTATATACATTTATTCAGGTCATGCAGTTCAATTAGTGACCCACTGACTCAGTACCCTGACCGAGTCAACGACCAGTTTAAATTTAATAACATTGCTACATACATTGACCTTCAAGCAATCGTCAAATAATTTAATGACGGCAAAGGTGGAAGGCATGGCATCATGAATCTCACTGACATTGGGAACTTTCGTAGAGATGTGTGTTCAGCTTGACAAATTTTTGAATTTAAGAAAATTCCCAAATTTTCTACAAAATCTATAAAATTGAATATTTGCTAAGTATATTTTATTTTTGAACGTTTGTAATATGATGTATGAAAAAAAAAAAAAAGGTTAAATGTATAACATGTTTATTTCTGACTTGGCAGGCACGGAAGAGGAAGGTGTTAGTTCAAGTAGTTGATGATGAAGGAAATCCTTTACCAAATGCAAGTATATCTATTATACACAAGAAGTCAAGCTTTCCATTTGGAAGTGCCATCAACCATTACATCCTGAACAACAGTGCATATCAAAATTGGTTCACCTCAAGGTTCACAGTCACCACATTTGAAAATGAAATGAAGTGGTACAGCACCGAATATATGCAAGGCAAGGAGAACTACTCGGTTGCCGATGCCATGCTACAGTTTGCAAAGCAACACAACATTGCTGTTCGAGGTCACAATGTATTTTGGGATGATCCTAGTTACCAACAAAGTTGGGTTACTTCACTCTCACTAGACCAGCTCAAATCAGCAGTCCAAAGGAGGGTGAATTCCATTGTGTCAAGATACAAGGGTCAACTTATTGCTTGGGATGTTGTTAATGAAAATCTGCACTTTTCATTCTTCGAAAGTAAACTTGGACAAAAATTTTCAGCCAGGATGTTAAAAAAGGTTCACAATATTGATAGGAAAACCACTTTATTCTTGAATGATTATAATACCATTGAGGATAGCACAGACGGTTTATCATCCCCAGCAAAGTACATCCAGAAACTCAGAGAGATACAAAGCTATGCTGGGCATCGAAGATTGCCAATTGGAATTGGGGTTGAGTCCCATTTCCCTAATTCTCCTCCTAATCTGCCTTACATGAGAGCTTCCATTGATACCCTTGCAGCTACTGGTTTACCAATTTGGATTACAGAACTTGATGTTGAATCCCAGCCTAATCAGGTAAAGTTCAATAACAACAAAACCAAGTTATTTTAATTTTCAAAATTCTTATTTCTCATGCAACAATTTGAGGTTGCTGGAAGAACATATGCTACTTTGTTGATAAGGTTCTTATTGCTTATGCTGAGGTCTGCCTTGGGCTGTAAACTTCAGCTGGCTTTACTAGCTGAACTTAAACACGGAGATTGTTATATTTATAAATTTTTTATTTATAAACTCTTACAAACTACACACTGTGTACTCCTGGGAGAACACTAGGTTACACTATGTTTTCTTGGTAATTTATAAGAGTTTGTAAAAAAAATTTGTAACCAGAACCTTCCCCCTTAAATATAGAGATTTTCTTTTACGCAAAAAAAAAAAAGATATCTCCAATACTAAAAAAAAAAGAAGAAAAATATCTCTGCATCAAATTGTGATTTCAATATTTTACTCATTTATGCATTTAATTTGTTAAAGTTTTGCGATCATGTTTGTGCAGGCAGAGTACTTGGAGCAGGTTCTTAGGGAAGCATACTCACACCCGCACGTTCAGGGCATTGTACTGTGGACAGCATGGTCACCACAAGGTTGCTATAGGATGTGCTTAGTGGATAACAATTTCAAGAACTTGCCTACAGGGGATGTTGTGGACAAGCTGCTTAGTGAATGGGGGTTAAAAAAATTATTAGGGACGACAGACCAAAATGGGTTCCTTGAGGCCTCCCTTTTTCATGGCCACTACGAAATGGAAATCAGTCACCCTTTCAAGAAGAACTATACTTTCACTCAGAACCTACAAGTGATTCTAACGGATGAGTTCAACAAAACAAATCAATTTATACAACTTTCTTTATAGTTATTGCTCCTGCATATTAGGCTTAAGGTTTATAATAAAAACTTTTTGGCGGGCCATTGCATATTGATCTTTCTATCGTTGCTTGTTTGTTGTCTTAGAGTGTTCGCGATCTACAATGAATCAATTTTGAAGCAAAAATTATTAAATTCAATCCGTTTGGCTTGATCATTTGATCGTCCCTTTAATTTGGATTTTTTTTTTTTTAAATCTGATCCAATCCATTCCAATTTTATTCGGCTTGGATTGGATTTTTTTTTTTTTTTTTTTGTAATGCCTAAAATTTCAATCATACAAATCACTAGCTATATCAAAATAAAGTCATTCAAAGTTACAAGCCACTTGAAAATTCAAGTCTTAAAAATAAAATAAGTCTTAAAACTCATGAAGAGTTAAAATAGATCAATAGACAAAAAAAATATTAAAATAACAAGATTAAAAAATAACATCCAAGATTCCAAGTATATAAAATAACAAGATTTCAAGTCACCATCTTTCTCTTCCATATGTTGTAGTCTTCAAAACAACTAGCAAGACAACAACTTTCACTAAAATAAGAGATTAACATAGGGTTCAAACAACAACAAATTTAAAATAAATACACGAACAATTGAAATTAAAAAATAGCAACTTACATCATCAACTTTTAATCAGAATCTGCATCAGAATCATCATCAACTTCTGTATTTGAAGAAATATCTAAAATAATTATAATAAAATAGTTAGTAAAGTCATTAGCGAAATTTCGAAAATAATAAATACATAATACATTGGATATGTTTGGATTGGATCGGTTTTCACCAACCAAATAAAAAATTAATCCAATCCAATTAAAATATGTGAGGTTTTTTTTTTCGATTATCGATTTTTTGGTTCGGTTGTCGTTGTTTGAATCGACTTGGATCGGTTGATGAATACCCCTAACTCTTATTACCTATAGCTTCGTGTTGTTTACTGCAATCAGTTCAATTATTGCTCTCTATGTTCATACATTTTGATTAACAATCTCAATCAATATTGTAAAACCCGGCCCAGTCATTGACTCAGTCGAGAGGTCATGAGTCATTGAGACAACATTATTGGTCCTCTCACCTAACCTCGAGACAACATTACAGTCTTGAGAAAAATAAACAAAAAAACTTGAAAGCCTCCACCTTGCTGCAGCCTAGCGAGCTTCCAAGGAAAGGGAGGGTTCAGGGAGAAAGCGTTTCTCAGAAGCAACCAAGAGGTAGCCGTGTGGATTACTGTTAGAGGGAGTCATCCACTTTGACACCTTCAAGTGAAAAAGGTATAAATTTTAAACCCTACATGTTTAACGGGCAGATCCTAAAACATGAGGCGCATAGATTGTCTATGCTTCCGCATCAAAGACCATTTTTTTTGTTTTTACCCTCATGTAGGCGCATCAAGGTGGGACCTTTGTGCAGTTAATTTTGACTTTCACAGTGGATTACTGGTTCAACCGCTTAAAGCGGATAAATAAATATAAATTCATATTTTATACTTAGAATTTTAAAAAATCATAATTGAACTTAACATAATGATAATATATTATTATGTGCAACATAAAAAAATTTAATAGTTATAATTTAATAACTCTATATGTCGTAATTATGTTCATATATTTATATCTCATTTTAAAAGTAAACAGTATGATATATATTTATATCTCATTGTAAAAGTAATTTTTTTTTAACATAATCATTGGCAAATCAAATCATGGAAGACAACTGAAATAGAAGAAAGTACATGTGAAAAATCAAGCAACCCTTTATGGCTCATTAGATTAGATTTCGTTATTGACCACGATTTTGTTCTGAATCAAAGAGTCCTTGCAATGCGCCATTGCTCCTTGGATTGCGCTTTGCAATCCCTCCATGGACGAAGTGTCACCATTGTACATAGCTCCGGCGCCCCCCCCCGAGAAAGAACACTAGAATGGTTTTCATTGTCCAATCAACTTCTCTCTAGAGGATACTCACACAATCGACTGTTAGAAACTTATTGTGAATGATTTTCTTAGGTTCATATAGATGAGGAAACCCTACAGGTTCTTAGAGTGTTTGGTTCAAGTTTTTGGAGAGGATTACCGGTAATCCTTCTTTGGTAAATGTAATTACCACGTTTGGTAGAAGGAATAAATTACGATTCCCGGATATCCAAGGATTACCGGTAATTTGATTTATAAAGAAAAGTCACTATTCAGATTACCAAAAATAATATGGTAATTCGGAATACCAATCAGAATACCAAGTGAAAGGAAAGCACAACAATAAATTTTGAGACAAAAATACCCCAATACACATAAAAATCTAGACCCAATCTATCAATTACAAAAGTAAAAATAGTTTGGGGTTATTTTTGTAAAATAACCTCATATTCCAAGTCATATTTCGTTCTAAACCAAATATGGAATCAGTAATTTTTACCCAATATTTCCGGTAATATTTTGGCGAACCAAACACATCTTTCGTAAGATTCCAAGTAAACTCAATTTCTACTGAATTCTCATTAATCATGATTCCCGGTCACCAAAAAATTTCTCTTGTACCAAACACACCCCTAGTATTCTTCTAAAGTCTTCTTCAATAATAAGTTGGTTGAGCATTTATTGTGGTAGTAAAAAATAAAGCCATGCACCCATAACTAAAATACGTGCTTAGCCTCCAAACATTAAAAGAGAAACACACCCAAACAAAAGCCGCCCATTTACTCCAGCTGGGCTTACCCAAGCAAGCAAAAAAAGCCGGCCTTTGAGTCTAGCTTAAGATAAATTCATCACAGCTATTTGAAACTTGGGCCACATAAACCTTCAAAATTGTTCTTCATTTGGACCGGAAAAATAAAAATTGTTTTGATTTTGTTTACATCTTAAAGCAAATACTTGCATTTTTTTAAGAAAATTCCCCGACTAAGAATCAGGTGTTCATTGAATCGTTGACAATAAACCATACCAATTACTTCATTAGCTTATGGATCGGATCTAAAATCTCAGTGATTATTGTTGAACGCACTGGGAATAAAAATATTATGAACCTTTGGAGGGTGCTCACCAAAAAAATTAAATTATACGATAAGAGAGCTCCAAGTTCATAAAAATATTATACCAGAAATTTATGTTTTCCATGTGAAACTCCAACTCTCGTACCTTACAATTCCATCGTTACACTTTCCCTTCATAGCTAGCTGCCTTAATACTTCAGAATGTAAACCAAGCACCACTCCACTAGTATCAGTATTAGTATTACTGTTGGTGTTTATTTTTGGTCGTCTATACTATAGTGCTAGTCCTTGCTATCACAAAATCATCTCATAAGATACACTGCACAGATATTTGAAATATTACCGGTAATGTTTTGTATTTATATTTTAAACTTTTATACTTATACATATTGAAATATAATTGATAAGGCAACTGTGATCCATTAAGCATATTCCATGGAATTTCAAATATGTAAGTAGTAGTTTAAGGTAATCAGACACCAAAGGTACTATGGTAACTTAGTCAAAGCCATTAGCACTCTCAATAAGTTATGGCTCACTTCCCTTTAAACCCGTAGAAAGGATTCCAAGTGGCATTTGGAATGCTGGATAGCTTCCAATAGCCTCCAAACAGTAACTTGATATGAAAGTCATAATACATCAAATATATATAATTTAATAAAATTAAAATACATAATTAAAAATATCAAAATTTTAAAAGTTAAATCAAATAATTAATAACATAATAAAATATTATTATTGAGGGGTTTACATTTCTGCCGTTGCTGTACGTGCAATAATCAAATACTTGCCATATATATACTTGAAAGCATTAAATGCAGGAAATCATAACCATACAAAGGATGAAGGCATTAAATGTGAGAAATCATAACCATACACATGTCGTTGCTGTACGTAAAGCGATTACAGAAATGATTTTATCTATTATTGAACTAAGTATCCTAATATTTCCATATGCACTGGTGGAACAGTTAAAATAAAATAAAAAAATGAAATGGGACTAGCTAGAAATATTAAAAGTATCCGTAAATTAAGATACTATAATGTCAGCTACGGGTGTAAATATGTTAGGTTAAGTTAAACTTTGGCTTAAATAGCCTAGGCCTATGTAAAATACTTTAGGCCTGACTGAACTGTTAGAATTGTGTAAGTCTAAATTATAAGTCTGACCTGACTTATATTTAAAAAAACAAAAGGCTTAGCCTAAATATTTTAGCATGTTTAAATCTTTTAAATATTCAATAATTAACAAAATAATTAAAATAATATTATTTTATTATTAAAAATTATTAAAATGATAATTTTATTTATTTTATTTAAAATAAATAATATGATATAGGTCGTATGTACGTTTACAAGCCCGAGATGTAAAAAAAAAATCTACAACCTACTTTTAAAATAATTTTTTTTATTGGTACAGGAAAAATTTTTATTTGTCCGGGAATCTCAATTTTCAAAAATATGATTTTTACATTCAGTTTACGATAATATTCGAAAATTTAAAATTTAGAAAAATTCAGTTTCCCGAGAATCCGGCCAAATGCCGCGGACCAAACGCCCCCCTAAAAGTTTAAACCTGTAGGCTAATTCTGAAGGCTAGGCCGTAAGCCTCCTAGGACTCGTCCATTTACACCGGGGCCTAATGCCAATAACAAAAATTAAAAAGAAAATTGTTGACCAGTCGTAATGGGGTAGCAAAGGTAATGAAATAGGGAATCGATCCAGTCAATAAAGGAGGGAAGGGAGAGATGTGAGCATGGCCTGCAGATTAAAACAATTGCTGCACACAAGAATATTTCTGCTTATAGTTATATTCTAACATCATTGAGGGAACCAAGTGCAATATTTTTTTTGCAGTTGCTACATGGGGAAGATTCTCTATAGTAATTTAAATTGGACGTCCATGATAACCAAGCTTATAAATATTCGTGAATCCTCAACAATTAAGGACAGGAAGCTCATCAGCTTAGTTTTTTTTTTTTTCTTCCATTTGAATAATTTCATCAAAAATGGGAAGAACAAAGTACTTTAATGTTTCTTTTGTATTATTGTCAGTGGTTTTAAGTGGTTTAGTTAATGCAATTGAGTTGAATACCACATTGATCAAGGAGGCCACAATAGATGACATCCAAAGGGCCTTTACCCGAAAACACCTCACGTCCAGGCAATTGGTTCAATATTACTTGCACAGGATCCACGCCCTCAATCCCATACTTGCCGCTGTACTGGAACTCAATCCTGATGCGCTTCATCAAGCGGATCATGCTGATCGTGAGAGGAAACGATATTCACATCACAGCCGTCCATGTCTGCATGGGATCCCTGTGCTTCTTAAGGACTCCATCGCCACCAATGATAAGCTCAACACTACCGCAGGGTCCTATGCCTTGCTTGGTTCACACGTTCCACGTGATGCTCACGTGGTTGCTAGGCTCAGACACGCTGGTGCTATCATTCTCGGCAAAGCTAGTCTCACTGAGTGGTACGGACTGCGCTCTTCCACTATGCCAAGTAATTGGTGCGCCAGAGGTGGACACGCCGTTGTTAGTACCTCACTCTCTCACTCACTTGACTTCCAATATTTTCTATACATTTAAAAATTAAATCAAAACAATTATTGTTATATATATATATATATATATTAAAAAAAATGTTATATTTACAAAAATTTTGTTTATAAACTCTTACAAACTACACTGTCTGACCGGTAAGACACTTTTACGTGAAGTCTTACCGGTCATACATAGTGTAATTTGTAAGTTTGTAAAAAAAATTTGTTAATATAACCTTTCTCTTTTAAAAATTGTATAGTTATCTATCTATCTTATATCAAATAATGGTAATTTAGTTGACATATAGGAGCTTGAGCAAAATGTGAGAACATGTGTTCGATCTTCCTCATGAGAAGAGTTTAAAACATTAATCATGAACCCGTCCCGAACAGGAATGCCTCACCGTAGAGAATACATGTAGTTTATCCAAAAAAAACATCTATATATCTTGTTAATTTCATTTTAATAACGGTTTAATTTACGATAAAGAATCGTTTCACCTAAAAGTTTAAAGTTGGTAAATAAAGAATATCAATAGTTTTATATTATATCTATATAACACATCTCTTCAAGTAAGAGATCTTTGAATTTAAAATGTGGATATTGCACATGCTTTTTCTTTTCTTTTCTACCTTGTGCACTCATCAAGGAAGCACAGACACTCCAAAAAACAGGAAGTGTCGTGTCCGACACGTTCCGACACAGTGTTTGACAAGCAGTCAACATTTCCGACACGTTGACTATTTCAATACGCGAATTTAACTGTGTCCGACACGTTCTGACACAGTCAAATGGCATTTTGGTAAAAAAAAAAAAATTTAATTATTTTTTTAAAAAATTAAAATATATTAATAAAGCTTCCACCTGATCATATTAATTTTTTTTTTTATTCTTTTTTCCCGTAAGTAGATAAGAGATCATCTCAGCATCATTATTGTTAATTCCTATTACGCTCTTGTTGTATCTCCTTCTCTTTGATCTCTCTATAATATGATTTGATCTCTCTATCTGATATTATCTCTCTCTCATCCCAGTTCCTATTTTTTTATTAAAGCTTCCACCTTTATAAGGTGTTGATGGATATTATTAATTTAGTTTTATTTTTTGTTAAATTATTAAATATTAAATGAAATATACGCTATATAAATTAAAAATATTATTTAATATTAAAATGTGTCCCAACGTATCGAAATCTATATTTTTTTAAGATTGACATGTCGGAGTGTCGTGTCGTGTCACGTGTCGTATACATAGGCTCTTATGACCAATTAGTCACGTCAGCTATGATACCGTAATAAAATAATCAATTCACCTAAAAGTTTGAGATATTAAATGAAAGTCTATAAATAATTTTATATTATATCTTTGTGACAATTTACCTATCTTCGCGAGCAGAATCCTTATGCGAAGTCGGTAATTTCGTGCGGGTCAAGCTTTGGATCGGCCATTTCAGTTGCAACTAACATGGTTACAGTTTCTTTGGGGACTGAGACAGATGGCTCCATGATATGCCCAGCTGATCAGAACTCAGTAGTGGGAATCAAACCCACTGTTGGACTCACCAGCAGAGCTGGTGTCGTACCAATTTCACCTCGTCAAGATACAATTGGGTAATAAGTTGTTTGTTTTGCCTTCACAACATGCAACACCAACCTCCTTTTAACTTACTGTAATAGATTATATATATATTAATGTTGTACGTAAATTTTAAATCTCGATGGGTATTTTTTCCTTAGGCCAATATGCAGGACAGTTTCTGATGCTGTTCATGTGCTCGATGTGATTGTTGGGTTTGACCCAAATGACCATAATGCTACAGCATCGGCAGCAAAGTTTATACCTAGAAGGGGTTATAAGCACTTCCTAAAAAAAAAAGGGCTCAAAGGAAAGAAACTTGGTGTTGTGAGGAATCCATTTTTGAAGTCTTACAATGGATCCAATGCCATTTCCATATTTGAGGATCATCTCAAAGTGTTCAGGTAAAAATAGAATTCACAACACACAAGCTTACCAAATGCTTTACAATAAACCGGGTAAACCCGCTATATGTATATATGGTCACAAATATAAAAAAAGTTATCAACTTTTATATTAACACAGGTTGTATGGTTTTTGTGAATTGAAGGCAGAGAGGTGCAATAGTAGTAGACAATTTGGAAATAGCGAATATAAGCATCATTCTCGACCCTTTCCAAAGTGGGGAAGCAGTAGCACTATTGAGAGAGTTTAAGGTTTCCATCAACGATTATCTGCAGCATCTCGTTTCCTCTCCAGTGAGGTCCCTGGCTGATATTATTGAATTCAACATTAACAACCCTGTTTCAGTAAGTATATATATATATATATATACAGAGTTTATCATCTATCATTTAACATACTCACAAAAAGTTTCCTACACACAAAATATTTTGTGGGGTCCGCAGCAAAAAACAACAACTTCGGCACGCAAAACAAATCTCTATAACATAACACAATCAATAGGGGTGTCAAAACGAAAACGGGTCGACACAACACGAATTCGACACGATACGAATTCGACACGATACGAATTCGACACGACACGAATACATCAACACTAACACGACACGAATTTTTATTCGTGTCAAAATCTTCAACACTGACACGACACGAATTTTTTGCAGGTTGACACAACATGACACGAATAACACGCAAAATAGAGGTCAAAAAGGTAATTGACAAAAAAATTTAAAAAAATGGATCGATATTAAAAAAATTAAAAAATAATAAAAAAAATTTTAAAAAAAATTTAAAATAATACGGGTCAACACGAACACGAATACATCAACACGAACACGATACGAATTTTTTTACGGGTCAATCCGAACACGAATTTTCGTGTCGTGTCGCGGGTCGACCCGCGTGTCAAAACCTATATTGACACCCTTAACAATCACTTTTCATACAACATAACTTTTATAAAACCTATATATATAATATCATTTTTAGAACAGAACCAATTGCTCGCTTTGATTTGACTGTAATGAACAATGTTTTTGGCGTTTGTTGTTTGTGTTGTAGGAAAAGACAAATAAGTACGGGCAGGCTTCTTTTATTATATCGGAACAGACCACAGGCATTGGACAGAAGGAAATAATGGCAGTGCAGATGATGAAGCAATTATCACATAATGGGTTTGAGAAGCTAATGAAGGAGAATCAATTGGATGCGTTGGTGACTTTAGGCCCTGAGGCTTCTGGGATTCTCGCAATTGGAGGCTATCCTGCAATCACTGTCCCAGCTGGCTATGATAGCAAAGGTGTACCATTTGGGATCCTTTTTGGGGGATTAAAGGGAACCGAACCTAAACTCATTGAGATTGCTTATGCCTTTGAGCAAGCTACAATGGCAAGGAAACCTCCCCCTCACTTTTGAAGAAAGAATACTTGCACTGAAGGATTGTTGATGAAGAAAATTAAAGAAGAATACTTGTAATAAAGGATTGTTGATGATTTTATAATTTAATGAATAAAAGTGCAGTATTGTCGATGGTTTTATATTTTAATGAACAAAAGTGCAATATCACATCTTGATGTCATTATCCAATGCATCAGATAGAGTGGTTCGTATTGCCTTACAGAGTGTTCATCAACTGATCCAAACCGATTCAAACTGCGCTGACCGAACCGAAAACGGAATAAACCGAAAATCGAAAAACGAAAAACCAAAAAAAAAAACCGCAAATTTTAATTGGATTGGATCGGTTTTCGGATGGGTTGATGAAAACCGATCCAATATATTAATTCTCTTCTACTTACTTGGGTTTTTTCCTAATTATAACCCAAAAATTTCTAAACCCAATACCTATTAACCTATCAACTAAACCCAAGAAAAAAAACCTAGTCACATCTCTTCAATAATATTTCAAAAAAAAAAAACTATATTATCGTCTATTGATACTTCATATCTCATTGCCAAAAAAAAAGCCTACATTATCGTCTATTGATGCTTTTGTATTTCAAAAAATAAATAAATTTACAAATCAATATATACAAAAGATGTTATTTGTACAATAATCATGAAACAAATTTTAAGATTTTCAAAAAATCGAAAACCGATCCAATCCAAACCGAAAAAAATTGGATTGGATCGAATCGGATTTGAAAAAAAATCCAAACCGAATGGATAATTACATGAACAAACCGAAGTGATTGGATCAGATGATTTTTGCTTCCAAAACCGATCCAATCCAGACCGCGAACACCCCTATTCCCTTTTCTCTTTCTTGATAAAAACTGAAATTTCAAATCTTTATTATAAGATTGCAAATAGAATTGATTCTCAGGATTCCATAAGGCGCCTTTGGTGTCTATATATATATTCTCTTACCTACTATTGGATGGGCTTAAGGGATAATGTATAAGAGTAGCTTATCAATGATGACTAGCTCTTTTTTAAGGGCTTTTCAATCAGGCTAGCTATGACTCGAATATCTACTTTTATATATATAACATGCGCTAATGACTTTAATTCTTTCTATGTGCAGGTTGTTCTATATGGAGAATTTGACATAAAGATGTTAAACGTAATACAGTACTAATTTCATAACTTCCGATTGAACTCTTTTTGCGAAAAGAAATTTGGATAATAAACTGGAAGAAACTGGAAGGTTCTCTGCAAATGGGCTATGATCAATCAAATTCAATTCAGGATTTCTGCGTACCGGATAATCACCTTAGAATCCATTATGCCGGTGGCATCTCTTAAGGGCCGGCGAAAGCCTTTGTTCTGAGCTACCATACAAATATTATTGAGTTGAACATGAATACCGTTCGAAACTAGAAGGGGATAAAAAACATTAATAATAAAATCGACGGTTCATCATCAAGCTAATATAGATTATAAATGGTGAAAATTAAAACAAAAATGACACGGCAACATTTAACTACAAACATAGCCATAAAATCTTGAGACTGACTGAGCTACCACCATACCTACCAAAATTGTCTTTAAACATGAAAAGATAAATAGAGACAAAACTTCAATAGGAAACAAAAAATAAGTTCTTAATAGTCAATGTTCCTTTCAACTCTCTTATCGATCAATCAGCAGGTACAAAATGATTGACATTTCTTCAGTTTTCATCAACGTGTTCCTCCTCCACTTTCTCAGCACTGCATTCCAAAGTAAACAGGTCAACACCATTATAAATAGGCCTAAATAAGCAATAACAATTCAAGTCACAAACAGAAACTCCAGCGCCACATTTGATTATTCTTAATCCATTCATATGTTGACATTTCAAGCTTAATTAAGGTCGAGTCCACCACTCACATATTTATCATTACTTAAAAGGCTGAAATAATAAATATGTAAATTAGTAGTAAACTCACCCTTAATTAAGACTAATATGTAAAAATATAAATAGGGGGAGCACATTCCTACATGGCACTAGAGGAGCATGTAATAATTTCAACTTGCATATAGCCAGGATCTTCCAACAATCAAGTATCATGCTGCCTAAATGACTCAAAAGCCTTATAACATTCTTGTCCACCAGGAGGAGAAAGCACCACTATGTACTTACAAAACATATCGGCATCACGAATACAACAAGGTCAGTAACCAAGAAATGTTCACAAACCTAGGGGTAACAAGGAAGGCAATCATGCAAAATAAAATGTAGCATAAACCTATGCTAAGTTTACAATAACACAGGTAGAGTAGATAAGAAACTTTTCAAAAACACACAAAATTTAGTATGCTAAATTAGTCGAAGATACAACTGACCAATGGGAAATAACATCGCACAGGAGCAGGTCATAAGCATCTTATTTGTATCAGATAAGTAGCATACACACAAATAAAATTAGAACACAATTTTTTCGCAAACTGCAAATTAACATCACAACATACGAATTAACAGTTTTAAGCCCTTTGTTCTTTTTACTTTCCGACTCTGGTATCAGCTAGGCCGACAGTGTTCTAACAGAGAATCAAAAAGAGCCTAAATAACCTAATTGTACCCAGAAACGCCCCAAGCTTCTAACTAGTATAAAGGATGTACGAAGTAAGTAAGAAAACCAATCAAGAACAAATAACACAGGGAACAACTACCATGTTGGTTTGGTATTCTTATTGCTGACAAACCTTTTTGGGCGATCATCATCAGATTCTGCCTTCCTCCAACTCCTCTCAGTGCGATATTCTGGCAAACTAGGACGTCCATTGTCAGAACCAAAACCCCTCTTCCCAGACCCATCAACAGTTTCCTTAATCTTCATGGTCTCAAGCTGCTCATCAATCTTTTTCCAATCTTGCCCTTTCTCAGCCAAAACCTGCTCCCTTGGCCTTGCCTCTCCGAATGGATTTGGGCCCTTAGGCTTTGCTACATTCCCAGAAGCAACTCCTTCTGTGCTTTCATTACTCACCGACAGTGCCCGAGGTTGCAAAACAAGCCTAGGCCTTACACCACCAGTCTCACCTCTTTCACTGCCACCGTTGAATTCACCCTTCTTCTTGTTCCAGTTATCAGAATCTGCACCGCCGCTGGAACCAAACCCAACCTTCCTCTCTCTTTCAAAACCACCACCACCATTGGAAACAAATCTCCTTCCCTCCGATGGCACAAAGTTCTTATTGGAAACCCAACTATCAGATTCATCAGCTCGCGACTGTGAATCGAAAAAAACCCCTCTTTCCCTTTCCCTCCTCTCAAACCCGTTCCCAACGGTCGATTTCTTCGCAGCAGCCCAATTATCAGTTTCATCAGCTCGCGAGGGTGCCATCTCGCGATTCGAATCCCTATCCCTAGAACCAAACGAACCGTTCCTCCTGGGCTCATCAGAAACCCTAGATGAACCCCATCTGGAATTGGAAGACTCGTCGCCGCCAGAATTCCTGTTGGACCGGTCACCGTAGGACTTGAAGCCACCGCCGAGTCGATTCCGATCGCGGTCGAGTTCCTCGGCAGTTCGCTGGCGCGGACCGGTGGGCAGCGAGTAGAGATCTTGATGGGTCACGGGCTCAACGGGTTTGGCGGTGAACTCAGCCAAAGAGAGGGTCTGGGGTTTCTTCTTCTTGGGCTTGGTGGCAGCGGCGACGGCGAGGGAAGGAAAGTCGGCGAGTGGCTTGGTGTCATCGATGTGGTTCTTCTGTTGAAGGAGTTCCTCTTCGTGTTCCTCGGAATCCAGTGCCCATGCTCCCGGTTTAGACCAAGCAGATACAGTAGCCGCCATTCTCTCTTTTCCTCTTTCTGTTTCTCACACCACACAACAATTGCTTAGCGTTTTTTGGCAGCAAAACAACGGACACGCGCCCATTAAAAAGAGAGACCAGAACTTGATGAACGGTTCTGATTTAATTTTGTATCATTAATTACTTTTTTAATGATAATTAACTATTAAATATATCATTCTTAAATAAACACTTTAAAATCCAATCTTGATGGTACAAAGAATCTTCTAAAAAAATCTTATAAATTTATTAAATCTTTTTAAATTTCGTAAGATTTTTTAACTCAATTTCTTTTTTATTGAATCCTAATCCAATATACACCTTACACTAATAAAAATTCATTTAACAATAACTTTTTTATATCAGTAAATGTATTTATGATTTTGAATTCAATTTTGGTTTTGAACAAACAATAGGCTTAAAAAAAGGATAAAAAATGTTTTCTTTTTTCCATAAGTTTCGTTTACAATGATAATTTTAGATATACAATTTATTTTTTGAACAAATATATGATTTATTGATAATATAAAATTCTTAATCCGTATAATATATCATAATTAAATTCGTAATTGAACAGCTTAATCCCCCCCTTTCCTAGATAAATTTCGGGAACAATAGGAAGGGATGTAGACGATAGAGATGACGTTTCTCACCCACATTCATTGACACGTTATCCCTAATGGATATTCCAAAAGGTATATTCTGATCAACATTGTGACAGAGAGTCCGCTTCGAATCGAAGCAAGAATTTAAAGAAATTATATACAACCCACAACCAGCGAGGACAGAACAAGGTTTATTATTAAAGATAGATGCCATGCACAAGAAGGATAAGCTCGCCACCACTAGGTGCTTCGGTGCGAACAACTGTGCACGTAGCAGCATCTTCAACCATCATTTTCATTAGGTCATCTTCATTTGCTTAGTGCTCTTAAGTCTAACAAAAGATCATGATAAAAATTAATAATAGATAACAAAGGAATATACTACAAACCAATCCACATTTTCTAAAGAATATCAGAAGAAAAAATATCTTCCAACATTTTTAACGGAAGCCGACGAATAAATATTTACCAAATTCGAGAAAAGAAACGATAAGATCTTATAATTAAATGAGAAAATTCGGACTGAACAATATAAACAATTGCTAACTTTCAACCAAAAATATAAAAAGAAAAATTATAATGGCTACCACGGACAGTAGAACGTACCATGAGATCACTCCAAAAATCTCAGTTGTTGCACTGAGACAGCGATCCCATTTCAGTTAGAAAAATGATTCAGCCCTCAGAATAACCATTAGCGTATCTCAAGCGTTTTGTGATGTCTCCGGTGAACAGTTGTATGCACAATTGCCTGCTGAGAAATGTTCAGAAAACTATAGCACCACTGGATGCTTGAATTTAAGCTCAAGAATCACAGACAAGCAATCCACACTACTAATGCACCGCATCATGACCATGGGCATGCTCACATCATATAATTGTTGCTGATATAACATGTTCTCTCACGTCTACTTCGAACGAAAAGTCAATGTTCAAGATAATCCGAACCATGTATAAGGATCAGGTGTTCATCATCAAGGCCCTTTATTGAATCCTCGCCAATAAACCATGTCAAGGTCCCTGCATCAAATAGAGAAGATACCATCACCTCATCAGATTTAATTCCTATTAGAGAAGCCAGTCAGGGTTGTAAGACAGTATATAACTGCATTACCAAACAAATGGATGTAGATACAATGTATGTTTTGATGATTACAAAGTGGCAACAACAAAAAGAGAAGAGTATTAATCGAGAGCAAAAAGCATCAACTATATGTGAATATTGAAAATGTATGATGTAGCCACACGAGAAGAGTAATGACATATCAAAGTAACAAGATTATTGGATCAAGAACAACAAGAAATAATTAGAAGAGCAACACCAAGATCAAAGACAACAAACCATAGACAACATCTAAGAGAAGCTCAATATCAACCATTGTGAAAAATGATCAAAATCAACAAAGTGTCAAGCTTTGTCATATCCAACAAGTCAAAGCATCAAGCTCAAGCAAAAATCCAAGACACAAGACATGAAGCTAAGTCTAAAATTATAGTTAGAAGATATCTTTAGGACTAAGAATATATGTGAGGGTATATGATAGATTGCATTGCATGAGCTCAAAGTTTTTCTCAAAGTAAACGTGTTTTTCGAATTGTATAATCATAACCTTTATACACTTGAAAGAAATTTGAAAAACCCATGGAAAAGATCCTTGACATATTTTATAACTTCAAAACATATTTATCAAGTCAAGATCTTTCACAAAAAGTGGTTGGAAGCAAGCTAGAACACATTTGAACTTAAAATTTATTGCATAATTTCGCTGCTTCCTTCCATACAATTTTTCGTATACAAGATGATGGATTTGGATCTTGTGTTCTTCATAGAAGTTGTAGATCTTTCTTTTATCTTTCCAACGAGACCAATATCACATCAATCCAACAAGAATAACTCGAGTTATGCCCAAAATACGAAACAATGTTATTGCTGTCGAATTTCCAACCTTCCAACAGGTTGGGAATCGATTCCCTGCATATGGGAATCGATTCCCCAACTAGGAAATCGATTACCACCATGTGGGAATCAATTCCCTCTTCCTAGAAAGGTTGGGAATCGATTCCCTAAGTATGGGAATCGATTCCCCCTGCGACAGAAAGCTTATAACGACTATAAACATATTCTTATGACCCTAAAACGTTAAGATCACTATTCCTACACATCTTAAGGATGATTTGAGAACTTCTACACTATCATTTACATATTCTTTCATATCTTTCAAAAGATCAAACATATTTGAGCTCATATCTTGAAAATTCATATACTCATAGTGCTTCAAGTTGTATATCCACACTTTGAGAGTGTATATTCATTTCCAAATATTTCCCTCCCTGTATTCTTGAGGTGAAAGGGTTGTGAAATCCATTGCTTGAGAGGTAGCCAAATACCTAAGTAAATTTGGAGTGAATTGTAAGGTTGTCAAGTACCCGTAAACTTGGAGATTGTAAGGTATCCAAGAACCCGAAGTCTTGGAAGATTGTAAAGGTTTGTCAAGCACCCGTGAAGCTTGACCATTAGTGAAAGAGTTAATCGAGCGACTTCAGTCTGGACGTAGGTCACAAGTGATGGTGACCGACTAGGATATATCGTGTTTGCAATTGTCTAAACTCTAAACTCTTTATTTCTAGCACTTTAATTGCTTCTTTGATATCTTGTATGTCCTAGTATAAGTTCTATAATTGTAATATATTATATATTATGGATTGTCTGAATGTATTGATTAGCTTTCCACATATCAAAGTTTGCTTGAAATGCTTATTTAGAAACTAGAAGGGGGCTTTGCAATACTCAATTCACCCCCCTCTTGAGTATGGAAGCCACATTCCTAACAATGGGGCTTGCATCTGATTGAAAGTAACATGTTTTTCTGTACCTTGCATATTAGATTCTTCCTGTTCTCTAGTCGCATGCAATATGATTGTTCCTGAAAGAACGATGATGAATCCACATATCTCAGAGGCTATGCTGCTGACATCCTGACCAGACCAATCCTGCATGGGAAATCAATGAAAGCAAATAAATCAAGCTTGTCATAGCCTAGGATTGAACAAAAAGACAAGTTTGAAATATCACGAAAGGAATCCAAGAAATATGAATCTATTTTCATACCTTAAACATTATTGCACTGGCAATAATAGTAAGAGTTGTGAACATTACATAATATACAGGAGACACGATTGTTGCATTGAATGTATCCAGTGCCTAAAAGATAGATTAGTGGAATAAGCTCAAGATTTGTTAAAAGAACAAAAGGATTTATAGATTTAATAGATGGATGATAAGAAAATTGATATTAGTGGGAACCCAAAGATGCAGATAGATCAGTTGAGAAAACATTACTAGAATTCTGTTCATCTGTTTGCAACTAGTATGAAAATAATAGAACTTTGGATCAAGTGTATGGATGGAAAAAACTCCCATGACTAAAGATAATTACTTCCACGTAGGACATAGCCGTTCACATGATTCATTTTACACATCTGTGTATTAATTTCAATGGGTCATGTTCTCAAGATTCTTATCCAATTCAAAAGTTTCAATTATTTTCCAGCACAAAGATGTGAAAATTCAGAATGCTTAATCAAATGTCAACTATATCCATGCTTCCCTATCAAGTCAGTGCTTCACTTTGCAAACTCAATAACTTCACACCATAGCTGCAATGAAATCAATGTTGAAATTCTTATAGAATTCAAATGTTATGAATAAGAAGTTGGGTGTAAAGAGATGTGTCTTTTCACTGGTGAACACTTGAACAGACATAACTTTTCACTGCCAAACAGGCATGACTCTTTACCGCCGATAGGCACCATTCATCGTGATGAGTCATGGTTTATAAATAAGGAAGGGAATCAGAATAAAGAGATTTTTTTTCTAATTTCTCTCCCATACCGAAACTCTCGCAAAAAAAAATGTTTTGAAATCTTTTGCATTCATTCTGTGCGATTAACCAATGTTCTTTGTATCCGCCAGTGTTGTTTCTTCTAGTTGTGCCACCATCGAAACAAAGGTAACCCGTTATATTCTGGGAGGCATTTGTCCACGAACCTTAGGCACCGTTGAGGGGGACAAATTGCCTTAAAGACACAATATTCAATACTAGGCTCAGGTTTGATTTTCTACAATTTTTTATGCCTTGCATATTGCATTCTGATTTTCTGTGATTGCGTGCAATTTTGGGATTTTTGATATTTTCATAACCAACAACACAGATTTACACTACCACCAATAACAATCAACAAATCAGATCGGGTCTTTTTTTTGTTACCTATTATTGCTGACCAGCTCCTGGCTGGAAATTGCAACAACTTTTATAGTTATGCATAAAGGATTGGGGAAGGGCTTCTCACTTGCAAGCTATCACTTTAAGACAACTGAGCTTTATCTTTATTCTTGACTAATCTAATTTAAAAAGCTCTGCTCTTTTTCTCTAGTTATTAAAACCAGAAGACTAGCCCTTTGGCTTCCTTTTGATCGGTTCTCCTGTTTTCCTAAAAAAAAACAAAAGCCAAAATTGAAGAGGGTTTGCCCCATTTAACTATACTAGAATAAGAAACCATAAATCATGCATCAAATTCAAGGCCAAACTGGCAATTTTTTCCTTTAATACTTTAATAAACACTAGTTTATAGTTTCAGTTATAAGTTGCACAATTTGATAACCGCCCCCCATATGGGTTCGAAAGTGCCTAATTAAACTGGTCTGGATAATTAAAAAGAAAACTGAATTTGATAACTCTGCACTCACCTTGTTAAGGTAATTCAACTGTGTAATGACACATATTACGGCTACTGTAAGAAAAAACCAAGACTGAGGATAACCTATTTGACTTATTCCATCAAGTGTAAGCTTTATTGCAATTCCAACGGCCTTTATGCTCACAACCTGCATAATGTCACAAATTTAATATTGGACAGACTAGTATACAGTAAAATGCATTATAATATCAATATGAAACTTCCATCTACGTGATTGGCACAAATATAATTACCGTAAGTGAGCCCATTAATGAACAAATTCCCAAGTAAACCAGCATATTAGTCTGTCCATAGAGAGACTCAAAGTGTAAAATCAAGGCCAAAACTGCTGAAACTGTTGCTGCTGCATAAATTAGAAATGCTGTCGAAAAAAGAGAGTAAAGAATTGGGAACATCATTTAATAGACGAGATAGAAATTTAATTTTAAGAGTAAAATACAACATGGGATGAAATCCAACCTGGTTGAGTGGCAAGATCCCATATTTCTTGGACAGAATTTGGAGTATACTCTTGTGGTGCATGGATGACAATAACAATTGATCCCACAATGCAGGATACACATCCCAAAACCCCCATCTTCCGAAGCCGTTCCTTCAACAAGAAGTGAGCCAAAACAGAACTAGCAATATATACTGTATATGTTAGATCCACCATAAAATCACATTATTCACCAGAACTTTTAACATTATTAATAAAGCACAAGCATGTACCTGACAATAATACTAAGTGCCCCAAGGGGAGTAACAAGAACTGCCGGAGCATAAATATAAGCTACAAAGTTTGCAATCTCCCCAATAATCACTGCAAGCAAGTAGTTTCAAGATTTATGCGAGTCAACATCTTCAACATCAATATCACATTTATCCCAAACAAGTTGGGGTCTCCATGACCATGAGTCCATATAATAAGGGAAAAGTATCTCTGCTTCTACGGCAGAATAAAGTTGTCTAACGCAGACTCATCTTCGTTAGAATACGCATGCGGATCCTGATTTTGTTAGGGCATGATCCACATGTGTATCCTGGCGAAGATGTGTCTGCATTAGATAACCTTATCTACGGTACTAGAGATCCGAGGGACCCATAAAATAAAATACATAAATATATTTGAGTATCATTCCAAAATTCAAACCTACTAAACTTACTTGTGACCATGCCAGCCCACCAAAGTGGCTCTAGCAGATAAGTATAACCGCCAACTCCTGCAAATTTCAAAAAATAAAACTAAACATAAGCAATAATGACAAAGCAAACGGCGATGAGGTCCAATGAAAGGTTACAGTCATAAATCACCTAAAAAAGTAACAGTAGTTATCTTATGGATCTGATCTAAAATACTACCTCAATCTCAATGATTATTGTTAAAACGCATTTGGAACAAAAACAAAATGAAATTATTATGATTGAAGATTCAGTTATCGGCGATGAGGAAACATAAAATTCGATTGAAAATTGACCTGCACGAGTACCGCGTACAGCTGCACGCTTAAGACCCTTCTTCTTCAAGATGAAGCTTGAACCAACGAATGCACTTGAAGACACAGCCAGTATCAACCCCTTCCAATTCTCCGAAACCCCCATCTCTATCTCTTTCACTCCAATTGTTACCTATCGATGACGGCGTCGTTTTCCCGCCAAAAAAAGAGAGAAAGAAAGAAAGAAAGATCGATTCCTTCTCTCTGCAACGAACGCCCTTGAATCTAAATCTGATGATGATCAGTTAACTTGATATTGCAAAGCAAAACCCTTAATTATGATTATTTATTAGTCCTTGACTTGTCAGAAGTTTCCGCATTTAACCAGCGGGGATGATCTTGTGCTTCGCGAGAAATCTGCACGGATATGCCACTCCCAATAACAAAATGCTATTTCGTACCTAATATATTTTGCAACCTCCAAAACAATACGAATCTAGATCTTAGCTTAAAAAGAAAATTATAAAAATTCATAATTTAAATAAAAGATATTATATTTACGTAAACTTATCAAGCTTCTAATATAAAAAAAAAGCATCGTTTATTTTCAACGACTTGAAACGAAGATATGAGCCTAGATTACCGCCATTTATACAATATTCAAGGTTGGGAAAATACATACGTTACGGTGTTTGCCGTGTAAATATTTGAAGGAAGCTTCGCCGTGTCTCCCCTCCCAAGTGCATGAGAGTGGTATACACGTACAAGCTTAGTATTAACTCAAACAAAAATTTTATTTATTTATTTATTTATTTTTCGCTTTGATTTGAAGCTTGAACATGTGAATAACAAACTAAACAAGTTCCCATTCACGAAGCTATACCCGAAGCAAGCAAGATTTGATTTTGGGCCAAGCCTGCAAAATATCAAGACCAACAACGACGGGTGGTCCTCGTACATGGTATTAGGATACAGCAAAATCGTCAAATCCAGGCCCGAAAGTTAAAAAGATGAATTTACTAAATTTTTAAAATGTAAGAAAATACTTTTTGTTGATAATTATTTCAGTAAATATATGATTAATTTTTAAACGTATCATGATAGTATTCTTTTATTTATTCAATTTCTGATAATATCGGACATCACAGGAGTCCTTATCTAATTGTTCATAAATAAAAGTACAAATTAATATACTTATATATATTTTTAACAAAATATTATTATTTATCTTCATTATTTTATTAAAAATATATATTTTGATTAATTTAATATTTATATTATTTCATTTCTTGAAATTAGCTGATATTTAGATTTAAATTAAATGTCGAAATGCAACGGTTCAAAAATAAAATGTCAAATTCTTATCATTGATAGGTTCAATTTACCACATATCATGCACATAGGTTTCGCTCTGAACATTGACGGGTCCAAGATCCGTCGTCCTAAAATGTGATATTTTTGCATTTTTATTTTTGAACCGTGACCTTTTAACAATTAAAATGTCGAAATATGACATTTTGGTTCTTGTCCCTTGGCTTGGTTGATCACTTTATACGTCAAAATGAAGTATAGAGGTTAAAATTCAAAATTACCAAAAAATGAATCAAAAATTGAATAAATCAAATATATATATATATATATATATATGGTACGAGATCTTTTGACATCTGTGTCAAATTTCAAAATTTGACACCAAATCTTCATATTTGATTCTCATCAATCAACGATTATCAATTATTGAGAATTAATAATTAATTAATATATTTGATTCAAATAAATGATAACCGTTGATTTCACCCCAAATCTAAAATTAATATATATATATATAGGGAGGATACTTTGACACAAGTGACAAATTTGAAATTTGACACCTCATCTGAGAGTCGTTAGATAAAAAAAAATCAATAGTGTCACTTGCTTACAAATCAGAGTCGTTGATATTTTTTGATCTAACGACTCTCAGATGAGGTGTCAAATTTCAAATTTGACACTGGTGTCAAAGGATCTTACCTTATATATATATATATATATGGCTTATCATTTCTCAAGCTGGCGGAGATAAATTTATCTCCAGCTACTGAATCATAATCGTACAAAGATGGATCAATGGTGACAAATGAAGAGTGAGAAAAGAGAAATCATAACTATTCAAAGGTGAATCAATAAATAAAAGGAAATAAATAATCAAAACGACGTAGTTTTAGAGTGGCCGGAGATAAACTTATCTCAAACAGCTTGAGAAATATTTTTCTCACATATATATATATAGGGATAGAATCATTTGGGATCGGTGTCAAATTTTAAACTTTGACACCAAATCCTAACATTGATTTCCGTCAATCAACCGTAATCATTTATTAGGAATCAAACTTTTTCGCCAATCAACGGTTATCATTTATTGAGAATCAAACTTATTAATTAATATTCATTCCCAATAAATGATTACCGTGGATTGGCGATAATCAACAGATAAGATTTGTTGTAAAAATTTAAAATTTGATACCGGTATCAAAGGACCCTGCCCCATATATATATATAAGGAAAAACATTTCTTCTACAACTTGAGATAAGTTTATCTCCGGCCACCAAAAAACTACGTCGTTTAGTTTATTTATTTCCTTATATTAATTGATTCACTTTTGAATGTTATAATTCTATTTTTCTCTGTCTTCCTATATCACCCTTGATCCATCTTTGTACGGTTATGATTTAGTAGCCGGAGATAAAATTATCTCAAGCAGCTGGAGAAATGATAAGTCCATATATATATATGGTTTTAATGTTTCTAAAGTGAATGTAGATAAGTTATCTACATTTGCTCCTAAAATGATGTCGGTTTGGATTGAAAAATTAAAAAGTTATAATGAACAAGACTATTATAACCCTGAAATAAATTATAATTACAAAAATACCTTTATTTCTGCCTCAAAATGACGTCATTCTGAACTCAATGTAGATAAGTTATCTACGTTGACAGTAGAAAAAGCGAACCCTATATATGTATATATATATATATATGTATATATATATACATGTGTATATATATATATATATATATATATATATATATATATATATATATATATATATATGAGTTCACTTTTTTTACAGTTACTGCAGATAAGTTATCTGTAGTAAACCCAATACGACGTCATTTTGGACGCAAATCATGGTGTTTTTGTAATTTTATTTTATTTCAGAGTTATTATAGTCTTTATAATTATAATTTTTTAATATTTCAATCCCAAAACGACGTCATTTTGGGAGTAAATACAGATAACATATTTGTAGTAACTGCAGAAATATTTCTCTCTCTGTATATATATATGTGTGTGTATTTATAGATACAATATATTTTTGTTTATTATAAACTTGCACATCGTATACTAAATTGAACCTACTTTTTTATTCAAAATTTGTATATATATATTATTTGAAATTTTGAATTGATAATTAAGTTGAAATTATATTTAAAGTTTAATTTTTATATTATTTAATTAAACTTGTATTTAATATGCTTTGATAAATTAATCTAGACTTGTATTTCATATATTTAATTTGATGAAATTAAGTTTTCACATCTGATAAATGTATATACTAAAAATTTTAACCAACATATATTTTTTTCAAACCAGTATAAATTAATTTGGACTAAGTTTACATTTCAAACCAGACTTATTAAATGATTTTATATAAAAAAAATTTGATCAAATTAAATCGATTGCCTTCTTCTTTGCAAATTTATTTAAGGGACAGATTATGTTTACAAATTTTTTTATTTACAAACTCTTATAAATTACACTATCTTCTTCCAAGAAAACACTAATCACACTATCTTCTTCCGTGAGAACATAGTGCAATTTGCATAAATTTATAAACGGATCATTTCTCTTTATTTAATCTAATATTAACCACTCCATAACACATATGGAGAAAGAAGTTTCACATTCACTTTCTCTCTTGTTATTTGTCAAATTATGGTCTTTTTGTCCTGTAAAGCTAATCTCAACAACTTATTGTATATATATAAAAAAATAATCAACTCATATATTTTATTGTGTTTAGATTAAAAAATAAAAATAAACTCACATGTTTGCTTATATGGAGCATGCAGAGTACAAAAAGAAAATATAGACTTACAGTGCATGAGATTGAGGATGGTATACACGTTCCTATTAACTTAAGCAATATTTCTTAATTTGTTTGTTTATTTTTATTTTAGTTTATTATTTTTTGCTTCAAAGCATAAAGAATAAGTCAATATCAAACTGAACATGTTCAAGCCATTAGGGAGGTTACTGGATTATAGGTTCCAACCTCCAATAAATCGAACATATTCCCATTCAAGAAGCTACTCTTGAACCAAGCAAAATTTAAATTTGGGCCCACAAATTCTTATGACCAACAACGAGGGGTAGTCCTCGTACATGTTAGCTACAATAAAATCGTCAAATTCAGGCCCGAAAATTAAAAACACGAATTTAATAAAGAGTTTTATAAGAGTTATGTTGTAGAAAAAGTGATTGTATAATGTTATAGAGATTCATTTTACGTGCCATAATTTATTTATTTTGCTTTAAAAAATGTGGGCCCCACGAAATGTTGTGTGTGTAAGAAAATTTTTCTGATCATGTTAAAGGACAAACTAAAACCCCTTTAATAAAAGGTCTCTATCAATCATTTTTTTTTTGCTGAATATTATTTCAATAAATATATAATTAGTTTTTATATTCAATTTCATAGTATATTTTTCATAACTTAAATAATTTTTTTTAATTTCGTACATCACATGAGTACTTATCTACTTATTTATAAATAAAAGTATAAATTAATATATTTGTAATATTTTTTAATAATATAATATTATTTATGTAAATAATCAATTAAATTCAAAAGCTTAAGTTATTAGGTGAAAATCATATATTAATAATTTTACATTATATTATTTTAATAATTTATTTTAACTTTTATAATAAAATTATTTATATTTATTAAATTAATATTTTCATTTTATCTCACTTCATTAAATTAGCTGATATTAGATTACTAAATTAATGAAATCAATATTAACTTTTGGGTAAGAATACTAATTTTATAGCATAAGTTCATGGGCATACGAGATAAAAATTATTTCCTACACACATAAAAGCAGTGTTTAAAAATCTGGTCCAACCATTGATCCGATCGAGGTCAGAGGTCACGGGTTCAACCAGGGTATCACGAGGTCACTATGCTGACCCAATTTTATATAT